CCCCAAAACCCCAAAACCCCAAAACCCCAAAACCCCAAAACCCCTAAAAGGCCATTAAAATTGATATTTATTTATTAAATTTCATGGAAAGACAATACCAAAACAGGGAACTGTACAGAAGAACCACACAAATTGGACGCCATGAAGTGATAGTGCTTGCAGAAAGGTAAGAATTTAGAAGGGAAAAGTGGGCTAACCTGTTTTTATAGGGATGAAGAAGATAGGGAAGCAGCGATCTTTAGGGCGGAATATGCTGATGGAATAGAGAGGTATGGTAGAGATGAGAGGTTTTAGGGATGGAGGGATTTTTAAGTCGGCAGATATATCAAGGGAATTGCAAGTTGTTCTTCAGCTAGTCATTGAGAATTATGGAGTAGTTCCAAGAGGATCAGGTGAAGAGGATCGTGATGATTTGATTGAAGATTATGTATTTAAAAATATTGATTTTGGGAATGATAATGAAGGGAGAGAAGATTTGCAAGATCTCATTAGAATTGTATATAATAAAGAACTTGATTGGGAATTGAATCTTGATAAATATATAAAGATAATTCGTAGACAAGAAAGAGACAAAATACTAGAAACTAAACTTGGATACCCAACACCAGAAGAACTTGAGGAAGGTAAGCCTTTAAAATGCTGTTTTGAAGAAGGATAATTGTTAATGTCTTTACAGACCACTTCTTGACTGTGAAAAGATTTACATTTGAGAACTGTATTTTTCCTGAGATCAGAAGTAGAAGGGAAGTAAGGTACTTATACCCCACGGGGATAGGAGTACTGGATGAAGAAATAATATTCTCAAAGGTATACAGATCCTTATACTCCTTTACCTTCTTGAATTGTTCATTTAGAGGAGAGGCTTGCATTACATTGGGATTTTTCTTAGAAAGATTCCACAACCTCTCTGCTCTATTTGTCAAGAATTGTAAGAAGAATGGGGATTATCAAGGTAAGCTATTTTGTGGATAACAGTTTTTAATCTTAAAATCTGTCTCATATTTTCATATTGAGATTTTCTCTAATTAATCCTATCTACTTGTTACACAAAATATGTCCAACCAGAAATGCTCGCTTATTAATAATTTCTATAAAGATCCAGACGGAGTATTCGTCCCACTCGATGAAATAGACCATGCTGCAATCAAGGTGAACCATTGTCAGGTAGAACAACTGATGGCCTGGCATGAAGTGCAATAATTCATCTGAATTTCATTGTCAATTTTATAATTTTATACGGGGTTTTGGGGTTTTGGGGTTTTGGGG